GAAGCAATTTGTTCTCGACTACTGCACAACATCGTACTCCCAAGTGTCTCTGTCTTGTCCTGCCATGGAAATTGTCGGGCAGAGACGTTGTTCCAGGTCTCATTGAGCAGGATTGTATCGTTTAAAACGCTTCGTGTTCGATTCTAAGGCTGAAGGGTGGGTTGGGGTGGGGGGGGGTGGGGGGTTACGCTGCCGCTGTGGTGGGAACGCGAGGGTCCTGGTTGGTTTGGTGTGACTGAAACTTGGATTTGAACGCAGGCTCCTAGCCGTGCTGGCTCAGTGTTTCTAACATGGAATTAGCTCCCTGAGCCACCTGGCCACCCCCGTGTGTGTGTGTTTTCGTAACTTGTTTACATTTGGGTGTTGGCTTGATCACCCCCATGCACCTTGGCCGTGACTGCATCTGAACGCTCCCTCTAGTATCGTTTCAGAGGAATAGGTCATTTCTTTTCTAAAATCACTGCCAGAATCAACGTTTTATTCTGTGACAGATTGCAATTTATTATCTGCTGTTCCCGCTGTATGGAACACCCTCCCACCGGCCATCCATGCTTTTTAACTAATTGCCAATGTTCAATTCCAAGCTCCAAGTCCTTACTCTTTTGCTCTGCCTATGAGTCAGTCTCTGCCTCTTCTCTGAAACAATCGTATATACACCTCGTTCCCCATAATATTACTGTCTTGTACAGCGATGTGATTAAACTGGGTTCTCAATTGTATTGAGGTTATGGTTTCAGCTCAGTCACCAATGACTGCATAGAACAAAGCCCATCACATTAAAGATGATTATGCGCTTAATTCAGATACATTTCAGTTTTAACAATTAAACATTTTGGTGTGACTGTTATGTGACGAACATTACTGGCAGTAGTAGAGCGAGCAGGAAAGCACTGACCCCAATTCTGTGGACGAGATGCCATCTCAAGGGATCTCAGAAGTAACTCTCTGATATCTGCTTCCCAGAGCCATTCTCCGACACAAAAGGGTCCACTGTTTTGTGAGACTTCCGAATGGGTTGTTTTTTGTCTCGTGACACAATTCCAATAGCACAATCAGGATAAAAACAAGAGAAAAAATATTGTTAATCATGTCACCAGCTTTCACACGCGGTGCAGTCGAGAGAAAACCCTCACATTGTATCTCACCACACTGCGATTTTGACACAACGTCCGTGCAGCCTGATTTCGTTGCGTGAACATTCGAAAGACCGAGCCCCTCCTATTTTGCAGGCTTCTGTTGGAGTCTCTGCAATCAATGAAGCCGCTATCGGAGTGACAACACATCCACTGGAGTGCATTGGTGACGATTCTGAAGCACCTCAACATAACAAAAAAATCAATTACTCCCCGGACGTGTGCTTTCACGTCACGTGCCTGCGCTCAGACAACAGGCAGCCTGCTTGGCGACTCAGATACGCAGTCGATCTCTGAGTGGTTTTATTCATCTGTACTTACGAGGGAGGTACAAATCCGTTCTGATTGGAGCACGAGTAAGGCTGTAAAATCCACAGATTAAAATTGATTTTAAAGCACTTAATGCAATACCACCAGGTTGGAGCGGTGGCATGGTGGTTAGCACACTGTGCTATGAAACCAATGATCTGAGATTGATTTACTGCCCACGGATAACATCAGTGGCAAGTGATATCTGAACTGATCCTCAGGAACCTCACCTTCCCCTGTTTGACCAACCTGTTCTGACCAACGTGGTGAAGTATGGTAAAAACATCTTCATGACTGATACAGCATGGGTAAACCTTTAATCTATCATTTTATGGATTGATAAAAGGTTGTAAATTATTATTATTCATGCAATGCAAACCAATTTGGATTTATAACGCTTCTGAATGCACTCTAGATCAAACAAATATTAACTTCCACCCTTGAACAAAAATGTATGGGTATAAAGGAGCCCATGTGAATGGTATGTAAAAGATAATTTATTTTCTCCTGTATTTTTCATTAAAAAAATATCATTTGCGACCAAAAAACGATAATTGCAAACGATAGATGAAAATGTGCAAGCTGTTTAATGTCTATCGTCAAATTTAAACGTAATAATGTTAGCTTCTTTGTTAAACTAATTTGCGTGCTATTGTTGTGCTAATTTTGGTTATTCTGGCTCAATCCGAAGGGAAGATGCAGTCCTGGTGGATGAGCTCGCAAGAAGAGTGTCTGGAGATGGGAGGATCACAATAATAGTGGATATATGTTGAACTTCTTTCGCACCGTACGTAGCCAACCGTGCTAATCGGAGATACGGGGGAAGGACAACAAACTAAACACAACAAAACTGTTCTACAGAAATTAGTTTTTTTTATTTACTGGAGCATGAAGTCAGAAATGCCATGCTACTGCTGCAACTTAATGTCCACTCAGATCGCATCACGCGACTTCTCTGAATTCCCAAATTTGAAAAAAAATCCTGGGAAAAATGCTTTGATCAAGAAAATTCAAAACGTGATCCATCAAATCGCGCAAGAGTGCTGTCTGCACTGGCGACATGGCCTGTGGCAATTGTGCGGTGCAGACTGGACGAATGAAATTAAGTTTGCGCGATCGCATCCGACTGCGTGAAAAGAGTTCGGACTGCACAGCGACCCTCATGCAGACACCTGCTTCGCATCGTGGAAGTCTCCGTTCCGTCGGATTATTGCAACTCAATATGATTAACACGCAGCTATTTCGCGACCAATATTATCATGCATCACTTGATGTTTGGGTCAGATTCGCGAGTGTAAAAATGCGGATGTTTGTCGTGCATCCTCCTCCACCTGACACAGCAACATTTTATGAAGTTGTCTCGTGAACAGCAGCTATTGCTTCAGCATACCACTGTGTTGGAGAGCGATCCCTAGCATTTACCAATTGGGCACAACGTTTCACTCGCAGTAACAACCGGCATCATCCAGCAGTTGCCATAACGGAACACCTGTCGTGAAAACGCCCTTTGATGTCCTGAATATATTCAACATTAAAATGTTGTTCACGATACCGAACGACACGCGGTACAACCAAAAATAACTTTGGAGAATTATAATTGCTGGCGGAAAATCTGCCGGCGATATTGGGAAGAGGCTAAGAGCGGGCGATGACATTGTCTACGATGTTCTCCAGCTTGATCGCAAACGTGTGGATAGAGAAATAAAATAATTGTTTCTACTGTGGGTGCGTCACCGTGCCAAGGCATTGAGTGCTCCGTTCAGGAGGAAATGCGGTCTGTAATTGGATCTGATTGAATATTGAATTCACCTACAGAAAACACAACTTGCTAATCTACCACGTGAGCCCCTCCAACGCACGCCCCCAATCAACCGTAGACAATTTCTGAATCTCGTATCACGCTTCGTGTTCTTGTACATCTCTGGCTGTGATGTGCGATAAGGGTGTGCTGGGCAGAATGGTTGCCCTGCACGTGCTGGAGAAGGAGGTTGTCACATGGCTCTGTGGCTACGTGGGCTGACGTCCACTCACATAACATTGATATCCAAGTGTATTTATTTAATTACATATGTCTTATTGTGTATCTGGTGCTCTAACCGTGTGATAGTCACGTGTAAAAGCAGTCGTGAACTCAAAGTAGGATTCAATGTTGTTTTTCTTTCTCAAAGGAATGCGATATATTCCAGGGCAACCAGTCATGAACATTTATCCATTAAGTCCAGATGTACGACAATATACAAGGGTCATTGCTGTTAGCAATAACCTATTAATGCCGGCATGGAACACAAGGCAACTTCCCAGAGTCATGTTGGCCTGTCAAACTGATGAAACTCAAAGAAGTTTCATAATGATGATAATTACTTATTTACCGAAGACAGCCACACTTAGTCTGAAAGCTATTTTTCAGGAGTGCCCTGCTACATTGTGATGTTAGGTCAACACCAAATAACATTGTATATTGTAGTTACGTGTAAGAAACTGCATAAACTGGCTAAAACCCGTACAGAACAGAGGGGGTGAGGGAACACGAAAACTCCACGCAGAAAGATACCCGAGGCAGATTTTGAACCCAGATCCTCCGAGCTGCGAGGCACAAGTCACACCACTGCACTGCCCCCTGCCGTGGAGGGGGTTTGCTGTTGAAATAAATGTCACTGCAAAGCATTGGTGCAGAAAGCGCACATGCTGATGGACGACAATCATAATTTATTTATCTTCTTGGTTTTTTTATGGAGAAACAGACCCTTGTCCGTTTAACGCCTCTTAATTTCATTTTGGGGGTGCAGCAGCGACACAATCGTTCCCACACTGCACGATGAACCTGCTGTGAATTCCTGAACACGGCAAACATCGGTGGCGAGTGATATCCGAACCTGCCCTATGCACCCCCCCCCCACTTTACCAACTCGAACTGACCAGAGGTGGCTAAGTGTGGTCTTCATTCAGCAGTGGTTTGAGATAGACCTGTCCTTACAATGTGTCATGGCCTACAACCCAAATCACCCCGAATGTCTGATTTCGTCTAATCTGGGAAGTTTAGCAGGGTTGAGCCCGATTAGTACTTGCTTGGAAGACTGCCAATAAAAAAATATCAGCTGTTGTAGGCTTATCCTGCAATGGTGGTCAGGAGATGGCAGCACAGAAATTACATTTTGGATCTACCTGTGTGGAGATTGATCGTCACCCCCTAATATGCATGGAATTTGATTTAATTAGATTTCCTCCCACGTAACAAACACCCATTGATACAATTGGCCAAAAAAAATCCCAATGCAGGGCCCTCCTGAAAAAGAGCATGACAACGCAATGAGGCTTCTTCCCTGAGTAAAGAGAGGGCATTATTATTCGTAACATTACCATTCATCCCACTATGATTCAAAGGATTTATCAGAATTGGGCAACATGATTTGACTTGGGAATGAATTCACAAACGAATGATTTTATTCGTGAGGCTTTATTGCAATTGAAGGCATCCATTTTTATCATTACTATTACAGTACCCACCACAACAGACTCATTCTGCCGCTGACCACTCGCTGTGCGGTCCGGGCTGTGCAGGTGTCTACTGCAACCGCACGTTTGACCGCTACGCGTGCTGGCCGGACGGGCTGCCCGACTCGGTGGTGAACGTGTCGTGCCCCTGGTACGTGCCCTGGCACGACAAAGGTGAGCGGAACTTCCCCACCCCTACGGTGGGGGAGGGTGGGAGGGACGGAGGGAGGGAGAAACATTGCCCCTGGGGTGGGAAGGTGTGGCCAGGTGGAGCAGTCACTGACATTTGTATGAGTAAAATGCGGAAAACCGATAATATTCTCCAGATTATTAAATTATAAACTATATTAACAGATGAGGCCCACTGAGTTATACAGCTCTTTTTCAGAGGCGACCTGGTCAGAAACTAGACATTTATGGCAGTCACGTGCTCTAAACTCGTTGATTCTAAATGTGGAGGGAAAACAGGAGGACCCGGAGAAAAATCCACGCGACCACGAAGAGAAGACACAAACTCCACATATACAGGCATCAGGGTCGGGATCGAACCCACGACTTCCTGTATACCCGGCAAGGTAGTTAACATCTTGCCACCATTATGCGATGCTCTAGAAAGTAAGACGCACACCAACATTGTACCCGATATCGAAACGGTTATACTAATCTGTACTGGATTTCAAGATGCACGCTCCACCTTTGTTGTAAAATACAGAGAAACATGGTGTGTCGCATACTCCAGAAAATACGGTCTATATTATAATTGTTCAGCCATTTGTCAATCCACTGTTGGATGAAGGCCTCCCCACGTGATGTCAGCCATGGGAGCTGGTGAAGGGGCAGGGGGCAGGAATGGCTCAGATATCACGTGCCAATCTCATGTTAGCTGCGACTGGGAATTGAACTCGGGTGGCCGGGGGTCATAGCGCAGTGCATGAACTGTTTAGCCATCCCTTCAATAGGATGGATAAAACTGTATGCGTCCTTCCAGGAAGTTTGTCCTATTCGCAAGCTGGATAAAAATTGAGCACATTCGCCGTGTTTTGTTCAATACATTGATTTCGCGTGCAGTGAAATGAGTTGAAATGAACGACGCGTGATGGATCCCATCCATGTGCGTGTAATTATAATCTGGACGCAATGGTAAAACGATGCATATGTCATCGCACGCGGCGCTGGCGGTTGCCGCCGTTCCAGAGAAATCATTCCATTGCAAAAGACGCTCACTCAGCCTGTACGAATATAAGGACGCCATCATGGCGAGATGTTAACTACCTCGCCTGGTATACAGGATGGTCGTGAGTTCGATCCTGACTCTCGCGCCTGCTGCTGTATATTTGGACTTTGCATGTTCTCCCCGTGGTCACGTGGATTTTTCTCCGGGCCCTAAGGTTTTTTCCCTGCACATTTAGAAACATGCGTTTAGATTATTGGCTGCTATACATGTCCACATGATAAGCCAATTCGTTGGGAAACAAGTTGTGGCCAGGTCGCTTCTGAAATAAGAGCTATATAGCTTAGTGGGCCTTACCTGGTAAAAATGAAGTATTTTTTTATAGGGATATCCAGTTACAGATACCCCACTCATATAATCACGAGACATTTGTGATAAAAATAATTTGAAACTAGTTCTCCGCAGTGGCAAACGCTCAAATTCCTCCTGGGGTTGGGATGCACGGCGGCATAAACATTTATCGTGACGCCGGCGGCGACGACGATGATGATGACGGCGCGTCATCGACGAGGTGATGGCCGGCCGGCTCGCGTCTCTGAGCTCCGGCTGTCACGCTCGCTTTCTCCACTAACGGAGCTCGGCATGCGCCAGTCCGCCATGGCCTCGCGTACAGGCGCTGTGGCCCCGATGGGCAGTGGGAGACGGACGGCGACGGGCAGCCGTGGCGCGACCTCAGCCAGTGCGCGGACCCTCCCGTCGGGGAGCAGGTGAGCGCACCTTTGTGCGCGCTTGTGTGTGCATGTGCGTGCGTGTGTACGTGCTTGTGTGTGTGCATGCGTGTGTGCGCGCTTGTGCGTACATGCGTGTGTGCGTGCGTGCGCGCGCGCTTGTGTGTGCATGCGTGTGTGCGCGTGTGTGTGCGCTTGTGCGTGCATGCGTGTGTATGTGCGCGCTTGTGCGTGCGTGCGTGTGTGCGAGCGTGTGCGCGCGCTTGTGTGTGCGTGTGTGTGTGTGCGCTTGTGCGTGTGTCCGTGTGTGTGCGCGTGTGTGCGCGTGGTGCTGGCCACTCACCCCCTCGTGTAGCCGTGCCAGCCTTCATAGGCGCTACTCGCAAACGGCACTTGCCCCAACAGTCTGTTAAAGGCTATACGGGGGATCTTTGTCTTTGGGTGTTCTTGTGCATCGCAACAAGAGCCGTTTAAATGATTTAAGTCGTCTTCCGCGTGGATAGGGAGGAAAAGGCTCCTGAAGCCAACGAGACACAAGATGCGTGTGTGTCTATGTGTGGGTAGCGGTCGGCCTTCATAGGTGCTCGCGAACGCGAATGTTGATCCCATTCAGTGTGCTCCCTGCGCTGAATGATGAAAAGGATCTCAATTCTACGACTCAGGTTCCCAAAAGCTTTACCTGAGGGGCCCTCTAAAGAAACAAGGGGGGGGGGTGAGGGAGGTGAGGGGGGTGAGGGGGGGTGAGGGGGGGTGAGGGGGGGGCGTGTGTCGTCGAGGCACGCACATGGGTACAGACGTTGCTGGTGTCGTGACGGCGCTTGTGTGTGTGGCAGTCCGGTCAGTCTCAGATCCTGAGTGGCTACAAGACGATGTACACCGTGGGCTACTCGCTGTCCCTGGCTGTCCTCACTATCGCGCTGGCCGTGCTCCTGTCCTTCAGGTGCGTGCGGCAGCGAGCTCATCGACCTCATCTCGGGGTCCTTAGACATTTGAGACGTTTCCTCCCCTTGCCGTCACTCCCCCCGACCCCGTCTGACCCAGTCCCACCTACCTCTCCCCCCTCTCATCTCACTCTGCCCCCCCCCCCCCCCCCCCTTTCACGTGATCTCCGCTTCAGCATTGAAAGGCTTCCTGTCAAAATTATGTTGATAGTCGTTTCTTCTCTGCTGCCTGTTTCAGGAATTTCCTTTCCCTCCGATCGTTCACAGTACTGAGACCCTACCCCGGTTCGAGTCCAGTCGCGCGACCTTCCACCTCTTTTCTGCCCGTCATTGGCTGCCACTCCCCCATGAAGTTGCTTCGTGAACACTCAGAAAATTGAGCGCTGAGTTGACCAACCCGATGAAGCTCAGAGCAGTTTGAGTTAAATTCCAGTCGTGCGTATTCTTTAGTCATCGGTGAGGAGCAGCAGCTGTTTTAGTGGTCAGGCTTTGATTGATACATAGGCCACAAACAAAATGGATCTTCTTGAGATGCGGCTGCATTTAGATAATTTCTCATAGTAATGTTATACATTCTATAACAATTGTAAAAACAGTATGACAATTATTACTCTGATAGTGCATTGTCTTTGTGCTGTACGCCTTTTGGCGTCCTCTGGTCTAAACACCGTTTTGAGACGAGGCTCAAAAGAAAGCTGTCTGTGGTGTGGACCAATCAGTTTCAAAGACAATGCATATACTCTCAGAGTATGTTTTTTGTTTGCATTTTGACCACAAGCTAATGCAGACATGATTCCTTGTAAAAGGTTTCAGTCTGCTGTTTTAACAACTTAACACCTGTTTTGTTTGCCAGATAAAAGGGGAAAAAACTATTCTCAGTACAATTATTTTATACAGCCCTATTCATGCAAATTGCATTTCAATGCGCTAAACGTTGAGAGACGTATTTTAACTTCAATGTCGATTGAAGATAGTCCAGGCAATGAGCACACGGGTGTCCGAAGCATCAACCCTGGAGCACCCCTCCGTCACTCGCAACAGCTCAGAGGAGCCCCCTCGCAGGAGACCTCAATAACACACGGGTCCTACCGTGGTGGAGGTGGCTGGCGGTGCGATTTGGTGATCCGGTTGTCGTCCGATCGCGTCATCGCCGTATCGTTTGCTCGTGGTTGCCCAGGAGGCTTCACTGCACCCGCAACTCCATCCACGCGAACCTCTTCGCCTCCTTCATGCTGAGAGCGGCGTCCATCCTGGTGCGTGACGCTCTGCTGGAGACGCGCTGGGATATGCCCCTTGGCGAGTCCACGGACTGGGGCACCCTGATCAGCGACGAGGTGGGTGGGTCATTCCATTGATCAGGAAGACCCTCATTAGTGACGAGGTGGGTAGGTCATTCCACTGATCAGGAAGACGCTCATTGTGACGAAGTGATGATGTGGGTGGGTCATTCCATTGAGGAAGACCCTCATTAGTGACGAGGTGGGTGGGTGATTCCATTGTAAGGGAAGTCCCTCATTAGTGATGGGGTGGTGGTTGGGGGGGCGGGGGGTGATCCCACTGACTAGGGACACTCTCATTTGTGACGAGGTGGGTGAGTGAACCCATCGACGATGAAGACCCTCATGAGTGACGAGGTAGCCAAGTGGGTGAATCAATTGACAAGAGACACCCTCGTTATGGGGCCGTCCATAAATGACGTCACGCACCGAGGGGGAGGGGGGTCAGACATTTGTGACGATGTGTGACGAGGGGGGGGGGGGAGTTTGAGAAATGTGACGTCACATAAAAATGTGCAACTTTAAATAAATATAGACAACACGTTCTACTAAATTAAATAGTATTTCTAATAAATGTTTTCTCCTACAACATCAGAGTGCAGCGGCACATTAAATACGCACGACGATGACAATAGTTTAAAGAGATTTGAAGCATTTTTTTATTTTTTTGGGGGGGGGGGAGAGCAGAGCTTTGTGACGTCATATTTGAGGGGGGGTCTGACTTCTTGTGACGCCGTGTGACGAAGGGGGGGGGGGGGGCCAAAAATCGGCCAAAATCGCGTGACGTCATTTATGGACGGCCCCTAATGACGAGGTGGCCGGGTAAACCCAAACACTCGGATTACGCTCAGTGACGAGGTGGGCGAGTGACTCCATTGGCTGGGGAAAACACACGAGTGGCCCCATGCGGGAATCAAACCGGCGAGTCCGGACACAACTCACCACGCATAGAAACGAGTGGCGCTGCCGTTTGCTGACGGTGCCTTCACCAGCCCCCACGCCCGCAACCGCCAGCTTCTCGTGCACGGCGGCCACCAATCGGAGCCTCAGAGGCCCAGGCTCATCGCCCGCGTGGCTTCCGAGAACCGACGCGATCGGGGACGCGTTGCGGCCGATCTGGTCGCAGGCGTCACTACGAAGGGTCACTGTTGTAAACCGGGCTGCAGCGGATGCGTCGCTCTTGGAGTGCGTGCTGTATTTGCGTCAGCGGCTAAAGGTCGCTCTCCGCAAAAAGCCCCCGGTAGCAAGTCTGAATCACGAGCAGGTGGGGCAGGGTGAGTGGGCGATGGACGTGGGATATTGTGGAGGGTGGAGTGGGGGGAGGGGTTGGTTGGAGAGGGATTATCTGTGAAATGTGCTCTTGCCTTCCAAAGTGTGCCCCTAACGCCTTGACATTTGCCTGTCGTAGTTGCGTGTAAATCGGTGGTGGCTAAGCTGGGTTGGTGGAGGGGAGGGAGGTGATTGGTCGCTTTACTGTGGACAGCTACCACTCATTCTGCTTTCATACAAAGTGCACCCATTGATGAGCCCAATCCGGTACGAATTACAAAAAAAAACATTGGATACTTCGTCTGCTGTAGGTCTTCGCGTAGTTGTCTTATACATTTTGAGTCCATAAGCCTCTTGGCTTTCCAGATCAATGTTATCAATCTGCATTTGAGTAAGCAAACTGTGGACTGGTTTTTACCTTCTAGGTCTCATCAATGAGTCAGACTCATTAAACAAATGCTGCTGGATTAACAGATGTTATTGGTAAGAGCGCTACATTGTAAAATATGGGATCTCCGTTCAACGCAAAAAAACAAGACCATACACCATGTTTACGTGGAGATAACCAAGCCAATGTGATTGCCTGCTCATCTCCTGCTTACAGTCCTGAGCCAGTGATGAACATTCCACATGTACACGATAGGGGCGAGGCTATCCTTTGGATGACCACTTTAGACTTCCTTACGGAGCGGTACTCCTGCTACCGACCCTAGAGGGATGCTGTGCATAGTCAAACCCCAACCAGCATTTGACCTCGCAACCTTCCATTTGCAAGCTGCTCGCTCTACTGCTTGCTCTACCTCTCGCTCTACTGAATACTATATAAACTCTTCATATTTTACCAGATAAGGCCCAATGAGCTATATCGAGATTTTTACGAAGCTACCTGGCTACAAATGTGAGCTCAGCGAAGTGGCTCATCAAGTTGAAATACATAGCAGCCAAATAGACGCGTGATGTTGATTCTAAATGTGGAGGAAAAAAACCGGAGAAAAAATTCCACGCGACCACGGGGAGAGAGAGAGACGCGAACTCCAAATATACAGCAGCGGGCGTCAGAGTCGGGATCGAACCCGCGACCTCCTGTGTACCAGGCGAGGGAGTTAACATCTCACCCCACTCGCGGACCCGGGCCTTGTGAACTAACGCGAACCGCCGCGTGCGCGTGCAGGCGGCGGCAGGCTGCCGGACGGCGCAGGTGCTCACGCAGTACTGCATCGTCGCCAACTACTACTGGCTGCTGGTGGAGGGCGTGTACCTGCACACGCTGCTCGTGGTGCCTGTCTTCTCCGAGGAGACCTACTTCAAGGTGTACCTCGCCGTCGGCTGGGGTGGGTCACATCTACCACACTCCCTGCACCCACCCCCTCCGAACTCCCCCCATCCCCTCCTCCAAGTAGTGAGCTCGTACAGCTGATGTTGATGTAGAGCAGCGGTGACCAACCTGCGTCTCCAGAGCCGCATGCGGCTCTTTAATCCACCACATACGACTGTATTGAAGGGGCATAACGTAGAACGTCCTATGACAGTAGCAAAGACAAATGAATATCTCCCCGTGCTGTGCCGAAAACTGTCTATATGTACACACTTATACACAAACATTTGGCTCTTTGCAGAACTGACAAGAGTATTTTTTGGCTCTTGATTTTTTTACAGATTGGCCACCCCTGATGTAGAGCGACGACTCTAATGTTACATTTGGGTGGTTGAGCCAGATGATTGCGTCAGGAGTAGCACAGTAGATCGCTTTGACGCTTCCTCCTTCGTGTGTCTGTGAATTGGGCGTTGAGTTGCTCCGTGACCCACGGTCGTTTCCTGCGTTACCACCGTCGCTGCCTACTGCAGGATAATTTTTTTGCATTTTCCTATCGTGCTGACCAAGTATCTCCATCTGCCGTGGCTTGTGCGGTTTGGAGTTGTGCCCATTTGCTTCATGGCAGATTGAAGCCACGGATCTTCTGCATAGGGTAAATAATGATGATGATTATGTACGCAGTGATAATGATCACAGACTGGTACCAAAGCAATGGGCATCGCTTAGAGCCAATGAGCAGACATGGTGCTGGCCAGTGTAAAGTGTCACTCCTGATTCTCCCTCGGTGGTATCAACTTGGCGATTTTGTCACTAAATCTTCGTGACGTTTTTTGGGGTACACTGACTTCTTCCTTAGCAACGTAGCTTTATATATATAAAAAAAATAGTGACGAGCGATAAATCTAGCGACTTTCTAGACAAGGGCTTTTTCTGGATTCAATAGCCATTCCAATCGGTTTGAAGGACAAATGTGGTCCTTTTACTGGATGCTGCCACAGTGGTGTAACGGTCAGCTAACTGGGTTTCCAATCCAGAAGTCACTCTTTTTATCTGTAAATCTCCTCCTATCTCCATCCTCCCCTCAGTATAAATGGGTAATTTCACACTTGGTCTTCGGGCAGATCATGTGTGATGGGGTAAAGCGTCGGCACGGTCACCATTTCCAAGACACCTGGCCAACATGGAAGATAATGCCAAACACCGTTTAGAGGGGCTTACTCGAGCTCTGTCTAAGAGAGGCATGAGGAAGCAATTAGAGGATTTCACCTTAAGCTTTCAGTTTTGTATGCATAACACTTGCTCTTCCGCATGGTAAACTGCCCTTTTACCCATGGTAAACTGCGTTTTTATGCATGGAAAAACTTTGGCAAACTGTTCAGTGACTTTTCAATGGCTTTAGAATGTATGTTGAACTTCTTTCACACCGTACGTAGCCAACCGTGCTAATCGGAGGTGCGGGGGAAGGACAACAAACTAAACACACAACAACAACAACAACAATATGTATCTAGTGACATTCAGCATCGCTGAGGTCTGTCTGTCAACTTTCCGTTTCCGTAAAGCCGTTTGGCAACGCTGCCCCCCGACTTCCCCCCCCCCCACCCACCGAACCACGTGGCGATGATGACGAGGAGGACGACGACACGGGCAGTGGCGAGGGGCTGCTCCTGATTCCCACCGAGACACGCGAACGCTCCCCACCGCTTCTCCTGCCACCCCCCCCCCCCCACCGCGCACTGCTTTGCGTTTTCGCTGTTGACAACCCCATGTCAAAATAAACCGTTAGCCGCGATATTTACGTCCTCGTGCGCATTGTTTAAGAGATGCCTTGATTTGCGAAGCCGTGGATTTGCACGTTTCGACCCGGCCGTTCGGCGAAAACTTTCTACAAGGCGCCTGTGATTGTGAGGTGGGGATGCGCTGTGTGGTGTGTGATTCGCTCCGTGTCTGTGTTGCCGGTGGCGCGGCACTGCGGCTGCATCTGCAGGGACCCCCGTGCTGTTCGTGGCTCCCTGGGTGGTGGTGAAATATTTGAAGGAAAATACAGAGTAAGTGTGAACATACACGTGTGTGTGTGTGTGTGTGCGTGTGTTATACGAGTGAGCGTGATGTCTGTGGAGAGCGCTATCAGAACCGGTCCTCAGTCGTTCCCTCGGTCGGCTCAGCCTTAAATGAGTACCTGGGTGCAGCGTGTAAAACATCAATAACTGGGGAGACAAAGGTGGCTGCTGCCCGCACCGATTCACCTCGTAGGCACTCGCTGACTTGCCAAACAGTCTGTGCGGCTCCACAGGGGATATCTGTCTCGGTTCCTGGGCTGGCACAGAAACGGGTACCAACTGCGGTGGCGACAACTTGGACTCATTTATTTTCTCGGCGATTAAAAGTGGATTGCTTGCTAACCCACGCATTTCAACATGGTCATCGCGTAATTCACTGATATTGACACGTGAAGAAATTGGAACCGCGAAAGTTATTCCACCTTGGGTGGTACCGACCAGTGAAATATCATGGACTATCTAGTGCGGTGGTGGTGGTGGTGTAGTGGGTTATGCACTGTGCTAAGGTCCCGGCCACCCGGGTTCAAATCCTGGCCATGGTGTCCACAACAGTGGTGGCAATCAGCCGGCAATTAATGATGAGTTGTCACGAATCGGTTGCCCCGATTCGATTCGAGGCACAATCCTTGTTCCCCAGTTTGTACTGTAACATTCGTATCGTGAGTCTCTTTGGTTCTGTCGCTTTGGTTCCGCGCCCCCCCGCCCCCCCTGTGTTATTGTGCTAGTTCTATTAGCCAACGCGTAGCGCACACGTGTCATTTTCATAATTAAATACAAGACAGCATGCGTGACTCCACACATATTGCGAACATGGGAATCAGTTTGAATTGATTATCGTTATGTGCCTACCAATTGGAATCTGAATCTGACCTGTGCATCTTCTAAGTCCACTCAGCCTAAAATGTGGTTAGGGCTACATCAGCACAGTGGGGGCAAAGGTGGAGTGGTGTGTTTGGTGGTTTACTCTAACCACACCTGCCAATTACCAGGTAGCTGGCCACTGTGGCATGCACTTGTGATTCGGTGCTTTGGAAGTAAGAGTTGGTTGATCATCTAAAGATATTTGCACAAACCTGCCAGGCGAAGAGGTGGCACATTTGATCTACATATGAAATGCGGCTTGCAAATGTAAACGAGTATTATGGCAACGCACACATTCTTGATTTCATCTTCGTGAAGTTTTGAGCGGTTATCGTGGTGGGTTTTTTCCAGTTTCCTCCTTCTTACACACAAAAAAAACACACTCATGAATGGAATTGGCCAAACATCCCAGTGAAGAATTCTCCTGAAGTAGAGTCCAGAGATTCGGCAAGGCCTCTCTGAGTAAATTATGGGTGAACGCGCTCACCAATGTTAAACTGTGGACCGCACCCTAGCGCGACTGCCCAGTTCCAACTTTCGCCGGCAAAATTTCAGATATTCCCCATGAGGTTGCTCCTGCAGCGCTCCACTGACGTACCCACAAACCTCGGCATGAACACATTAACATTGCTGACCGACACCTCAACACATGAAAGCAGAAGACGAGAGATTCGGGCAGACTGAACAACAGGGTTCACTGTTGTCTTCTTACACTGACAATTGTCCTTTAGCTTTGACGTGCACCTTTGCGTCTCAGCCTGTGCCCGTAAGCCTTGCCATGCCCAATCCCATCAGACTCGGATCACCACCCCCCCTCCCCTATGTACTGTACACGTGCAGCCCTTTTGTCAATCCACTGCTGGATGAGGGCGTTCTCGCACCGTACGAGTCGTGGGAGTTATTTGACCATACTTCGCCACACTGGTCAGTTTGGGTTGGCGAAGGCGTGGAGCGTGGATGTGGAGGTGAAGAAGTACAGAGCAACAATGGATTTTGCTGAACTTGCCCTCTTCTGCTCACCACATATCCCCACAGCAACCGATAGCAACCCTTATGTGCACTATTCAGGCTTACTTGGCTTCCACGATCTGACGAGATGGGCCTATATACACTGTGATTTGATCACAGGCAACTCCTCAGAGTTGAATACCAACAGACAGAACAAGATACTGTGGAAACCATTCTTGTCACAATTTAAAACCTCAACAACAAGAGAAACAACCACAAACTACATGTTCCCGGCCAACATAACAGCAATCACCGCTTCACGTGACATAAGATTCACTATGAGGGTGAACAGGTCTTTGCCTTGTGCTGCATAATTTTGCGTTGAGTATGGACCGATATGTAACAGAGGGGGTCCATGCCTATCAACGTCTGGCAGTTCACCAGCAGTGGTTCGAGCGAGCCTGATTCGTGCGACGTTGAGTTCTGCATCAGCAGGGACAGGCACAGTTTTGCTTGTGTTGGATCAGTGCTGCTGGAATGGTGGACTCCTAGGAGGTCACGTGGCCGCTGGGATGTGTCAACAATGCTGAACTTTATATATTTTTTTAAATGCGGAGCGACAAATATGTCAAGCAGGTGTGCACTTGAAAAGGAAAATTGGAATCTTGACGCCGGCACGCAACGGCCTACTCTTGTGAATGACGTCAGGGGATCTTTAATCGATAATAAATATTTTTTTGGAGGGTTTGATTGCGTAAATGTGAAGGTGTTGTTACCCGCCACCACCCAGCACAGATGACAAGTACGGCTTGTCATGTAAACAATGTCTACTATGGATCTTTAATGTCCACTATGAAGCAGGTGGCATGTTGTATTGGCTTGGTTACTACACTGGAAGTAAAGATCAGGGAGACATCCGAATTGGACCCGGGAACGTCGGTAAGAAGCGGCGAACGTGCTAGGCCATATTGATTATAGTGACATGGTATGGATGATGATGCTCGTGAGATTGCATGATGATGATGTTGGTGACATGGCATTGTGATCACAGGTGCTGGGGGCACAATGAGAACATGGGCTACTGGTGGATCATCCGCACGCCCATACACCTTGCCATTCTGGTGAGAGCACGTGCCTCCCCTTTAACATTGCATTGCACATTCTTATAGAGTATAAGCCGGTGCCAGCCCGTCCCACAGATGGGATTGATACAGTTGTTTTTCTCCAAACTACAATCATGAAGGGAACCGCATTGCACGAGTGAACTAAGACCTGCTTGGGATTTCGCGCACTACTACCATCCAGTCAAAGTCAACAAAGTCAAAGTGAGTTCCCACTCAAGTGAGCATTGAGGGAGTGATCATCTCCTCTTTACAGCCCTGAACCAGTGGTGTATATGCCACGTTCCCATGGTAGGGGCGAGTCTGTCCATCATGCAAACACTGTTGACTTACCCACAAAGTGGTTCGTATTTTATTGACTCCAGAAGGATGATGGACTGAGGCAACCCCCAGCTAAGATTTGAACTTGCAGTCTGCCACTGAGCCATCTGGTTGAATACCCTCTGATGGTGGTATGAAACAATCAATTTTGCAGGTGGTTTTCTTAACCTTATTCAAAGTTAATAGGTTCTACATAGTCCATGACCAATACCATAGGTCCCCGTTTTCCTGTGGTCACGTTGAGTACTTCCTCGACGCTGTATTGAAAAAAAAGTCGGAAGAAGTCCGATGTCAGATGTTCAGCACCTGAGTAAAGCCCATGAGCTTTCCCTTGGTGGTCTTTTTCAAGGGTGACTTGGCCTACTCATCCTAAGTGATGTGACTGAGAAGTCATTCCGCGACATCATCTTTCTCTGGGCATTTCTACTGCCCGCTGAAATATTGCAAAGAGGCAAAAAAATATTAATGCTCCGTAACTTTTTTCCCCCCCAGCAAAGATTGAGGTCATCGCCTCCAGTTCAGTTAATGCACCCTTCCAGCATATTTTTGCAAAGTAAAAATCAATTCCTAAGATGTTTGTAGGACGAGTTATTGTATAAACATTGTGTAAAAGTGAAACTTTTGGGGCACGGATTTAGTAATAGGTTCGTGTTGAAATGTACAGCACTCAAATTCTCAACCCTACCTCACCCAGCGATGACCACACCTCCCTGCGCTCTTTGGAAGACAACGGGATGTGTCGGTCGCCTGAAAATGGGCAGAGAAAAGCTGGCCATTGCTCACGAAAACAAATATGACGAATGTGACAGTGTCCCCAGACTAGGGCTGTATATTATATGTACAAAACCAACGTCGGTATTGCCAAATGGGCCATTAATTTGCAACGCATTCCGCGGGCCAGCTTTAAGTTTACAAAACATGCGGCAAATGGGCGGTATGGGGGGTTGTGGGTGGGGGGGGGGGCTAAGGGCAATGGGGTGGCGAGGATGGATGGGAGAATGATTTGATCCAAAGTGTTGCTGCGTGTAGCTTGGTGGTTTCTCTACTCCTAACCGCATCCGTGAAACGTGCAACGCTAAACCCCTTTCGGCTCCCACTCCCCCGTGTGTCTTTTTTTATTTCATGAATCAAATATTACCAGGTCTCCAATTCACTTTGTTTCTTTTAAATTTTAACTACACGTCCTTTATTCAAATGAAAGTTTGTCGGAAGGACAGATAAAAAGGGTCCCCGCGTGCTTGCCCCCCCCCACACCCTCCCTAAACAAATCTTACTTGCGAACGGGGTAAAAATGTAAACATCGTTACAGTTTGTCGACCAAATAAATATAAGCGTTTTGCACGCGGTGATACATTTTACGTCAAAATAATCTTCTCGTGATGGATTCCTTCGAATTACAGACAGCTATAATCAGGATGCTGTGGTGAAAACAATTCATCAATCACGCCGCGCGGCTCCATCTGAGGCCGTTAGTGCAGCGATTCTGGTTGGGAAAACGGTACGTTACACACTGGACTCGAATAAACGCGGGGAAAATAACATTCTAGTCACTTATTCTTCCTCGTCGACCAGCCGAGGGAAAAACGATATAACAACCTCCTTTACTGCACGGCGTGGGGAGGTATTCATCCAGCAGTGGATTCGGCAAAGCGCAGTAATTGGTTCATTAATTTAACGTAACAAGTCACTTAGGTATGAAATAAATTACGATGTTTCGGGAAAGGGGGGGGGGCTTTCCCACCTGATGACGAACGCTTGTGTTGCGCCCGAAACGTCGTGATTTATTTTATTTATATACCGACGTGACTTTACCGAAAGAACCAAAGAGTACGGATTCCTGCAGTCACGAAAGCTTCAAATCAAGATTTAACATAACAACAGCGGGTTCTGTGGTCGAAAATATCGCCGCTGGAGGAGGTGAAGGCAAAGCGCGTGGCTGCGCTCACAGCGCCCCAGAACTCACGTGTGTGCCGTGTCAGACGGACAAGTGCTCATCGCGTTTACAGGACGTCCGTGAGAGGTACCATCCGTTTGTTTAAAAGAAAAAAACAGCAAATCAGACAGCAAGTTGAGCAAGGTCAGTCAAACTATGCGCGCAGTCTCGTCGCACGAGCCTCATCCTTCTTAAACATCCGCAAGTCCCCAAGCCGTGGCAGTGGCGACGTGAATCGCGTCGAGACTGTTGAGAGACCCAAAATAATCTGCATCTCCAACGCTGTGGTTGCTTGCCTTGAACGTTTCCACGGTGAACTGGATGGCTGGGTTTTGTGCCTTGAGATGATTAAAACATTCATTAAGTGCATCTTCAAAAACTAGTGTCTTGTACTAAAAATGATTTATCTAAGTTATCAAAAGGAGGTGTTTATTGGATCAATTGCTTATGCGGTAAATGCTATTTTGGACAGACGGGATGTAACATTAGCGTAAGACTAAAAGAACACCAAAGGAACATTACATTATCTCAAACACAACTGTCGGCAGTGGCAGAACATGCTTGCCAACAAGGACACTCAATTGATTTTGCTAACGTTGAAGTGTTATGCAAAACTAATTATAACTGTATTCTTGGTTCTTTCGGTAAAGTCACGTAGAAGGGAAACAATAAAATAATAAAAATATAAAACAATAAAATTCTCACGATGTTTCGACTGCAACACAAGCAATCATCATCAAGTGTTAAAACCACAGCAAGAAATTTTGAAAAAAGTGGCGGTTTTTTTAACGTTAGCACCACGGAGAGCGATTTGGCAGTTATTCGTTATCCATGGTGCTAACGTTAAAAAAGCGCCACTTTTTTCAAATTTTATTGCTGTGGTTTTAACACCTGATGATGATTGCTTCTGTTGCAGTCGAAACGTCATGAGAATTTTATTGTTTTATATTTTTATTATTTTATTGCTTCCCTTCTACGTGACTTTACCGAAAAAACCAAGAATATTAATTCCTGCAGTCACGAAAGCTTTAAATCAAAATTTAATTATAACTGGCCAAGACTAATTAGAGAATCCATCGAAATTGAGAGAAATACCAATAATTTTAACCGCTCTGATAGCTACAGACAGCGCAGCCTGGAAGCGTATTATTAAGGATTACACAATACATATTACATTTCCTTATAGAGGAATCACATACTAATTAACTGATTACTAATCTATTATATAATTACAATACCCCCCCCCCCCGCTCCGCCTCTGATCTCGAAACCTGATGGTGTTCAATGATGACCACGTCCTGCACTATTTAAGACCGGAAGCAGGTGGAGGGCTTCAATATTCTGGCAAATCGCCTGAAGATACTGGATGTAATTACCAGCGAAACGTCGTACTCAAATTCTAAATGTTGTGGATTCACTCTTCAAACACACCGGTGGGCTGAAGAAGTAACTAATTGGCGTTTTGTTAACGTGACACATTTTTTACTGATTGGCCGTGCCAGGTGGTGGAGGGTTGCGACACATTCATACTTACGCGATCATACCCAAAAGTCTTTATTATGGATAATGATGCTCATGATGACCTTAATGGGCGCTCTGTATATTGCCACGCAAGACTTTGTTTCGTTTGCGAATGTGACCCATTGGCTGTGTGTTTGCAGATAAACTTCATCATGTTCATAAGAATACTCAAAATTATCACCTCCAAGCTCAGAGCTCACCAGATGGGCTACACAGACTTCAAATTCAGGTGCGTTGCATTTCCTCACAGAGCCGTGTCCTATAAGGGACACTGCACCGCGCAAACCTTGGCCAACTTTGGGTTTTGGCAGAGTAATAAAAAGCATAAAATACCCAACGTTCACTTTTGAAAGAACCAGCATTGGCATGCGGGGCTAAGGAAAAGACTAACATTTGTGGCGACCAACTCGTAAATTGTGCAGTGGAAGCAGCTCGCTGCAGGAAAGGCATTGTTATGGAACTAATCCTTGCAAGTGCTGCTAAACGGCAAAGACGAAGATCCCCCATGTAGCCTTGAACAGGCAGTTGTGGTGAGTGCTGTTTTCAAGCACTAATTAAGGCCGGCACGGCGCATGAGGTGGCGGGCGTCCAGCACCACACCCGGCGACTTTTGTCTCCCCATTGATGATGTTTCCACACCATACCAGGTACTAAGTTAAGGCTGAGTCGTCCTAGGGGATGCCCAGGACCAGTTCAGATATTCGTCACTGATATGCACCGCGAGCGGGAATTGAACGCGGGTCGCCTTGGTCATGCAGTGGGCCGACCACTGCGCTACCGCTCCCCACGATGCGTGTACACACACACACGCAGGGATGCACGCATGACCAGTGCAAGCACGTACGTGCACAAATACCCATAATGGCCCAGCGGTAGTGCGTTCATCGTTTATTGCAGAGGATCACGGTTCCAATCGAGCGATGGCCCCGATAATAACCAGAATAGTACGATGCACGTCCTCTGCTAGAGAGTGAACGATAAATATCACATTGGCGTCCTTCGCAAGAGCAGGCCATTGCGTGCGGGCATAAGTGTCCCAATTTTCCAAATGTAAAAATGTCCCCGGGATTATACACAGAGCGGCAATCATCGCCCCCTACTGGCAGAACAATGCCGCAGGTCGCTCTTACAATTGAGACTCTATCCTGGTCTCTTGAATTCTCACCTGCTTCAAAAAAACAAAACTTAAAACTCGGAAAGTTGACCACACTTGCACGTCACATGCCCCACGCGATGCAGAGGGAGGCTCGTCGGCTGCTGCGCTGTGTCCAGGTTGGCCAAGTCGACGCTGACGTTGATCCCGCTGCTGGGAATCCACGAGATTGTGTTCACCTTCATCACGGACGAGCACGCCCATGATGCGCTGCGCCACGTCAAGCTCTTCTTCGCTCTCTTCTTCAATTCCTTCCAGGTGCGGCCGCTGGCATTGCCCTTTTGTACAGGGATCGAGAGTTATCCACCTTGCACGGTAGCATTTTTCTTCCCACACGAATCAACGCTCATAATATATATAGAGGACTACAGAGCTTGGACAATTTTTGTAGCGTCGGCTCACCACCTGACTGCTTGCTTCCTGCTTTTGTGATGCAGTTTGCATGAACCACTCTGTACAATCGAAACATTATGGTCGTGCTTGTCCTGCTGCCATTACTCACGTCCCACTGGCAGACTAATGCCCACTTGCAGGCCAGTGCTGAGTTCACCTTGAGCCATTTATGGACAGCTGCCACTGGCGGTCACCTAGCCTAGACTACAGCAGGACAGAGGAATGTGTGAGATGAAATGTGATGTAAGCTGCTTTTGAGTTGCTGAAGAATGTAATGCACTTAATTAATCCTGATCTTACTCCTCTATCCTTGCAATTGTAATGAGCGACTTCCACGACACGTCGTGTAGAGGGTTCTTCTTCATCTTCTCCTTCTGTTTCTCACACTGGGCACAACACAGGCCAACACTTATTCTTCCTCACACTGAGTACAACGCTTAGATATTAACACCTCTCTACTGGCTACACACAGCCGATCACTTGGCATGGTTCCACCGCCCTCACTCGGCTACGCCGCTGGCTGGCGGCGTGACGATGACGGCGATGGAAACCCCGCAGGAGATCTTCCACGTGGCCAGACGACGGAGAGAGATGTCGGCGAACAGCGACACAGCCAGGACCCAAGAAGCCACACACGAGCCCCGAGCTCCCCCCTTATATCCCCCCAGGCGTGGCTAAGCCCCGCCTCCGGCCACGCCCTCTCGTGGAACCTTCGAGCAGGTTCCCGGAGCGTCTCGGCTAGCCCCACCTGTTACCTTTGCCCCAGATACACCTCCCCTTCTCTGATTGGCTGTTACTTTAACCGTGCCCGTACCCATGATTCCCTTTCCCAGCCATCAGGTGTCACCCTGTCATTACACATGTATGGTGGTGGGTGATATACGATTTAATACAATATATCTCAGTAATACCAATGTATCATGAAACAAATCTTAGTAAATAAAGTTAATCAATCATTATGAAAAGCAGGTGAGAGGTGCTGAGACCAAATTCCTTTTTTCAAAGGGAGACGCGGATCACGAAAGCCGTACATAAATATATAATACACAAAAATGCAGCTTCTTGTCAATCTACTGCTGGACGAAGTATTTTCTCCACTCCATGTCGGTCATGGAGACTCATTAGTGATACTTCACATCTTGCTGGTCAGTCCAGGTTGGCGACAGTCGGCGGCTCAGCACCGGTTCAGACATTGCTCACCGCTGTTGTTAGCCGCGTCCACAATTCGAACTTGGGTGGCCAACCACCACACCGCCGCTGAATAAGCGGCCAAAACAATGGCATGCCCTGGCTCTGGAAAACAAAACAGGAAAAAATTAATATGAAAGGTTTAGCAAACGGTAAACAAGTAAGCAATATATGGCTAGAGAGCTCCCGCCTCTCACATGAAGCTCCCATCCAAACCATTTCCACCTCCTCCACTTTTGCCTTTCTCTGCCAAATCCTGCTCTGTCTTGCCTGCACACAAATAGCCCCGTCCAATGAGAATTAGATTAGGTTTTTGTCAGAGCGTCTTGCGGAGGCTCAACGTGTTTGTCTTGGTTGTTTATAAGTGCCCCCCTCTGCCAGAGTCGTAACGACATTATGAATCGCTAATGCAACCTTGTGTGTGTAGTAATTGTGGACAGGGCTGTTGTTTCAGTTGCGTGGGGTCACGTGTGCGGCAAGTGGCAAAAAATAAACAAGCGCTGCTTTCGGCAACCGTAACTTTTATCGACACGCTTAACAATCTGGTTTCACTAGTACATAATTGGGAATATGCAGTGTACCTGTTTTTCTCTCGACGTAAATAATAATTTAAAATTGCACTCTACAGACATCTAACAGTGGACTGCTGGATGGAGTGCTGTCTCCCCATGCCGTGTTGGTTGTTGGGGTTTGTTTGACCATCACGGTCGGTCAGTACGGGACCGACGACTTGTTTTATTTAGATGTCACTTGTCACTGGCTGTAGCTGTGGCTGTCAGTCAAAGGACGTTCGCGAGGTTCATGGGGCAGGGCGCTAACCACTGCTTCTCTGCTCCCCCGATTTCCCCGATATGACTACAATAATGAGCCAAGATTGTCTGTTTGCGTGTAAGGCGGGTGACGTCACTCCAAGTCGACCAGCCCCCCGCATTAATAATCATGAACGGGTGACGTCACTCCGCATGAAGAAGGTGGAGCAGAAACGAACATTTGTTTACGCAAATTAGCTTAAACTTTGACCTTTTTGTTTATGGAAAGTAAAGCTAATAAATAAATCAAAGCACCAACGAATATAACGAGCCAAAAAAGGCTGTGTTTGTGTGTGTCCCGCGCGTGACGTCACTCCACATGCGGCCCCACCCCCCCTCATTATTATTCACGTGTGCCTGGATTGTTTGACTAACGCAGAAGGTCGAGCGTCTTTGATAAAAACATTTTTTAACGTAAATTCGCTTTCGATTTTACGCATCTTTATAGCAAGTGAAGGCAATAAATAATTCTACGCCGCATCGCGGTGCATTTGGCGCCTTTATTTATTTATTTATTCGTTACGTCCAACAAAAGGTTATGTCTACTTTACGCTTCCAAATTATGCTACAAGAAACATTTCTCTGCTACTTTGCAGACGTATCGAATTCAAATTGTTTCCAACCCCAGCGTGCGAAAGCGGAAGATAAGTAAGCATCAGAGCAGTGGATTGCAAGTCATTGAACGTCCGTTAAAGGCAGTGCTACTGTGACATTATGTCAGGTGTTTGATAGTTCAATTTTTTTAGTTCCATTTATTTTGGTATAGCCCTGTGAGCCATTCGGCTCTTGAATCGGGTGCAACCGCAACAAACAAAAAACAAAAACATGAACAAGAAAACATCTTAAAGTGACTATGTGTGACTGTGCAAACAGAAAATCCAGGAAAAAAAAACATCAAAATATTCCTGAAATAGCACCGTACACCAACGGTGTGTGCAAAAATCCCAGTGGGATGCAAGTCAAACAACAACAACAACAACCACAAGACAACTAAGATTAAGGACATCAGTCGAACTCCGTACTACAATAAACAAAGACATAGCCAAACCAAAAAAACGGTTTTCGAAATCACCAAAAAAGCCATAAATGCAATATAACAGTGATCATACGGACTGTGACCGAATTTTTAACAATAAACTACATAAATAACATATAACACAAACCCTAGAGCCATAGCTGGCTGCATGAGTCACTCCACAACAACAGGAGCATCAGTCGGAATATTACATTTTTCAATGCACCTTTAAGATCAGAACACTAAATCAAAATACAGATAATTCTTTGCAGCGGTCATCCGGAGCGAAACATTTTATTTTATTTTAGACCACTGAATAGCAGTGGCAGCTAGGGGTGTACAACTCCTCTAGAGCCGTTCTGAGTGAAGATCTCATAGGTAGTGATTCAAGTTGCAGTTTATTGGCAATAGCATTCCAGACACTGGGGCCATCAATAGCAAAGGCCCTTCCTCCGGTTTTTGTACGGCAATAGGGGATGTGAAGCTGGTAAATGAGTGAAGACCTGAGGTCAAATTTGTTCTTTGAAACAGAGAGGAGATCCAGCAGGTAGTCTGCGGATTTTTTTGTAAGTACATCGTGAATAAATAAGATCTGGTGCACAAGCCGTCGAACATTAAGAGATGTAAAGTTTGACCCAATGTAGAGATCACAGTGGTGAGTCCTATACGGGCAGTTCAATGCAAATCTTAAGGCCGAGTGATAGATGGAATCAAGCTTCTTCAGTACAGTACTTGGGGCTGATTTATACACGATATCACAGTAATCAAGTAGAGGCAGTATGGTAGCTTTTATCAATTCCAAACGGAACATAGGGGGGAAGCAGTGCTTGTGTCGATACAGAAAACCAATTTTTATTTTTGTCTTTTTACCAATATAATCAATGTGATCTTCAAAATTCAGTTTTGAATCCAGGATGACCCCAAGATGCTTATAGATCTATTTGATAATTATTTAAGGAATGTAATTAGGGAAAAATAACTTCCTGCTTTAGTCCCGGTGGGAAGCATAGCACCTTGGTTTTGGAGGTATTCAGGACTAGTTTAAGAGCAACTAGCTGATGTTGTAGTTTGTTGAAATCACCCTGGAGCTTAGCAATCACGTCATCCGGAGAGCGGCCAGTAGTAATCAGTATCGTGTCATCTGCAAAAAGATTTATCCTGGAATGATCCAGTTCAGTGCCCAAGTCATTGACATAAAAAGAGAACAAGAGGGGGCCAAGGATGGAACCCTGTGGAACCCCTTTTGTTATCTTAACACTGTTTGACCTACAACCATCTGTGAATACAGTTTGGATGCGAGAAAATAGGTAATTTTTTAACCATTTTACTGTGTTTTCGGAAAAACCGAGGCAACTTCATTTACTAAGCAGGGTGTTGTGGTCTACTGTATCAAAAGCTTTGGACAGGTCAAGAAAAAGACAGGCACAGTTCTGTTTATTATCAAGGCTACTGTAAATTTGATTCAGAGAGTCTAATGCAGCAGATGTGGTGCTGTATTTTTTTCGGAACCCATATTGTTTTAGATGTAGTAGATTGTTGGTGGACAGGAAACTGCTAATTTGGTAGTTCAATAATTTTTCAAACATTTTCATCAATGGGGACAAAATTGAGATAGGTTGGTAGTTATTGGGATCATCTTTAGGGCACCCTTTATGAAGTGGACGGACATAGGAATGTTTCCATTCTAGAGGAACTGATGCTTCTTTGATAGACAGGTTGAAAATATGGGCTATAGGTTTGTATATTAGGTGACCAACAGTTAGTAGAGCAAAGACGGGAAAACTATCTGCTCCGGTAGAGGAGGACCCTTTGACGTAGGACAGTTTCAGAACATCACTTTCGTGGATTGGCTGGAAACTAAATTTGTTTAATGTTTGGATAGGGGTGTAGGAATTTGCATGAGCAGGGGTGACTCCCAATACAATATCAATAAGATTACCAGCTTCAGAAAAATGAAGGTTAAAATTGTCAACTATTTTTTTGGGATCCGAAAAATATTCCCCATTTCGGTTAAGCTCAACGGGCAGATTGTCTGTTTTGGATGCCTTTTCGATAGATTTGATTGTTTTCCAAAAAATCCTGGCATTTCCATGTGATTCCAGGAGAGTGGAGGAAAAGTAGGCATTTTTTGCATGCCGTATTGTTTTGACGCATCTATTCCTTAAAATCCTGTATTCTAACCAGCCATTTACCAAATTACTTTTCTGAGCACATGCCCAAGCCTTGTCCCTAGTTTTCATGAGCTTTGTAATCAAAGGATCATACCCATGGTGGGCGGTTGCCTTTAGTTTTAAATCTAACCAACGGAGCATGTTTGTTAAGAATTTGGAGAAACGTGTACCTGAAAGTCTCCCAAGCCGTAGTCAGGTTGGGGATATCACAGACCTTGTCAATATCCGAGTGAAGCACATCATTAGTAAATGCCTGAGTGCTGAAGTGCCTCAAAAAGTGCTTCTCAACAATTTTAGGGGGGGCTTTGGGTCTGGCTGATGATCTCACCCCAAAAATGAAGGAGTAATCTTTAAGGTTATTACCCAGAACACCAGTCAGCGCGAAATTGAGGGGCATTTGTCAATAGGACGTCAAGCAGAGTTGACTGTCCCCGATTTTTTAGGTTGGGTCTTGTGGGGACATTTATTAATTGAAACAGGTTAAATTCATCTGTAAAATTTGTGGCCACGGCCGGCGGGTTTAGCCAATTCCAGTTTAGATCACCCACTAAAACTATTTCACCTTTAGGGAGGCCCCCAAAAATCTCTCTCAGTGCAGATGCAGCTTCAACATCCTTCCCACTAGGCGGTCTATAGCAGCACACTACAAATATCTGTTGATTATTTGATGACTTTGTTGCATGCGACAACCACTACCATTAATGCAGTGCTGCGGTCAAATGCTGTGAGGTGTTTTATGACTTCCTTTTGTGCAACATTCACTGCCATTAATAATACAGTGCTACAGTGAAACGCAGTGAAGTGTTTGATGACATTTTTGTCAATATTCCACTGCCATTACATTTAGACAAGACTCTGATCAATGTATTCGTAACTCTAATTCTTCTCTTTGTTCTTCGCTATTTGCTAAATTACTTCAGACAGTATCAGCACTCTACTTTCTTACCTCTCCGCTATCAAGCGTCCATCGGTGAAGATACATTGTCAGTTAACAGCTTCAGGTGATTTGAAAACAGTGCTGAAGTGAATTTACGGGGTTTTTTCAAATTATACAGCCACAAAGATTGTTCGCCTTTCCCTATTGTGTAAGATATCGAAGAGTCCCTGATAAAAAAAAAATATAATGCTTCTTTTAATGTTTCTTTTGCCTCTATACTCGCTAGATTTGGCCCCTCTGCTGCTTCCGTCCATGGGTGGGCTAACAAGCTAGTTTTCTTAATATGCATCATCAGTGCATTGCTTTTAAACATTGGTGTCATGAAAACAACGCTCTTTCCAGTCCCTCAGCTACCCAGAGCCCACTATTCCCCATCCTGGGGGTGAGGGGGGAATGTGAGGTGGGAACAGATTTCCGGAGCTCAGTCCCAAACAGCTTGAGATAAAATTAAGCCCTGCATGCAAATTAAGCCCTGCATGCAAATTAAGCCCTGCATGACCAAATCACTTGGAATCCACGCAATATTGTCAGATCGCGGAAGCTAAGCAGGTCGTAGCCTGGATAGTGCTCGGATGGGTGACTATAATGTCAAACAAATGTTGGTGCATAGACTGAGGGCCTCCATGTTGGACAGCAGATGGTGGGCAATGCAGCCAAATCCATTCCTCTCTACTTTGATGTTCACATGTTAATGCTCCTTGGATTTAATTGGTCCGCACTGAATGTATGTTCAGTATGTATGTTGAACCATGATAATCGGAGGTGCGCTGAACAGGTGCATTGAACAGGTGCGGTGAAGTATGGCGAAATAACCCACACAACTCACTTGGCATGGGGAGGCCCTCATTTGGTGGTGGATTGACAGACATGGCCGTACGGGCGTCTGCTAATGACCGATCTGTGTGGCTGTTTCCTCTATCTTGCAGGGTCTTTTTGTGGCAATCCTCTACTGCTTTGTCACCAGAGAAGTAAGCTCCATCCCAGCACGTAATAACCCATGGCGAAAGTCTACGGAAAAGCCTATTAGCCTAATAGTGTGCGGTTACTGCAAGCCAGACGTACAAAAAACTATGTAGACTTTCAGTTGAGACTATCTTAGGCAAGAAAATGTATTATTAATGTTGTTATTTTTATTTTGCATAGACATCTGTTTGTGTATAACCCCCCGGTGTCATAATAATGCATCTGTTCAACGTTTGAGAATAAGCCGTTGGCATTTTGACACCACCACTTGTGAGTTATATAAACATATCAGCTTATTTAAAGTAAAATCAGTCTAAATAAAGAAATAATGCCGGCCTACAGCCAAATCACCCTGAATATGTCAGATTTTTGCCAGAACTAAGAAGCTACGCAGGGCTGAGCCTGGTTAATACCTGGATGACAAAATGCCTATGAAAAAGCCGCTGTTATAGGCTTGGGATATCAGGTGACCAGTAGTTGGCAAGACAAAAAAGTGTTAAAGGAACTGGCCATAAGAAACAAAAGCGTGACCCTCCTGAAACATAAAATTGAGACTCAGTGAGGCTTTCGTGGGTATATAAATAACATCGCTCTGTTATTTATTAATTGATGATAATAGCCATATTCAGGGCTTAACTTTTTCATGGAATATTTTCCAGGGTCCTGCAATTCCCTAAAACCCTCTAACCTGAGCAGGGGGAGGACGTGGGAGACGTTTAAAATAGTTTCTAGAGCTCGGTTCTGTTCAGCTCCAGCTGAAACTAAGCCCTGGCTCTATCATTATGATTGTTATTGTTTATGCCAACTCTATTTCTTTCAGCAGTGCACTTATAATTTCATATTTAAGCCTCACGTATCCTCCCCTCCATCATACGCTGATAAAGCAGCAGCTGAGCTCGCGCCGGCGTCGTGTTCGCGTGCAGGTCCAAGCTGAGGTCCGCAAGCAGTGGAAGCGCTGGCGGCTGGGCAAGGAGCTCGAGAGCAGACTCAACTACATCCAGGTGTCAAACCTGAAGGCGTCGCGGGACGAGGCCGAGCAGCGCAACGGCCACAGCACGGCCTCCACGGGGCTGCAGGAGACCCAGGACCTGCCGAGCCACACGGAGGCCCTCCGGCCCAACAGCCTGTGCGATGCGCCACTCCCAACGCCAGACACCGCTTCTCTTAAATCTCTGCAGGGAGAAGCCCCCTTAGAGCAGCAGCAGCAGCAGCAGGACGATCACTCGTGCGGCACCAGCTGCACGCCTGTCGTGACTTTTGTCGGCGACGCCGGCAGCAGTGTGTGGACGGTTTGATGGCGTCTACTCGGGGTCTTCTCGAGTTCTCGCCACTCGCGTTTGCTGGGGGGTGGTGCTGGAGAAGCTTTGAGGAGCTGTGTCCATGGGGGGTGGCGATGTCGAGTTGGGTCGTAGCAGCGAGCACGTGTCCCAAGCATCCTTTGTGGCTGGCGTCTCATACCCTGCTTGATGTGTGAGACGGGATTGCGCACTGTCGCAGACCTCTTCAAAACATGCCAATCGCCACCGAGGAGGACAATGGGACACTTTGACAGCCGACTGCGGAGAGCCGGACCTTGCACTCAGCGACCGTCTCCACCGGTGAAGCCTGCGGCTAAATAAGGAGTCCTCCTGTCACCCCGGCAAGCCCACCCCGAACGATCCGTTTTTGGGGAGTGACAGTGGTGAGCCTGTGACAGACTTGCCTGGAATGTGTCCGATCTCTGTTGGATCTCAGTATGTAAGCAGGGTTGAGCCTTGGACAAGCGCTTCGATGGGCGACCAACACCGTACATTAACCAGCTGTTGTAGGCTGCAACTGCGATCTGTTGTCGGCAGAGGGCATTGCGGCATATGCCAGTGTTGCACTTTACCATGCTCCACAACGCCTTCGCTAACTTGCACTGACCAGTATGACGAAGTATGGTCAAATGACCCGCATGTCATGGGGAGGCCCTGGTCCAGCAGTCGATTGACCAATAAAGGATATACATGCGTGCACACGTGGCTGCTTTTACAACAGTTCACGTGTTCAGGAGCTTCACGTGTTCAGCGCCGCTGGTGCAGTGGTATCCAACAAAATGAAGTTTCCCCCTTTTTTGGACCCGTGTTTGCAGCGCACATTCATGTAGTGACAGTGCAAGATGATGGGGTGAGGATGGGGTGGGGGTGGAGATGGTGGTTTCGACTGGAAGCCGTTGCACAAGTTGGCAGTAAAAGCCAGATTAATAATCCTGCGAGAACGCACGTGTATTGCGTTGGGTTATCATCAATCAAGACGCAGCATGGTCACATTCCTTAATGGAAGGAGTTTCCTTTTTTTAAGTCTGCAAAAGGGGCCATACGGAGGTGTGAGCATGACCCTTGAACTGCATTGATATGTCGTACACACAGGACCGACAAGAGTGGCGGACAAAACGGAAAAATTTGCCCCTGGCCTCGCATAAAAGAGGGCCTCACAACCATGTTGTCACTAATAAGGGGGGCCCACGTAACATTCTACTCTGGGCCTTTAGCCCTGGGTCTCCACGAATCTCTGGTCGGCCCTACGGTCCTACATGGGCGTAGTGTGGTTGGCATGGGCTCTGGTAAATCGAATTAAACTTGGGCCTCGTCCAATTTACTCCCGTAGCCTGGCGCCTGTCCTCTCCAGGCCCGTGGCCACGGGCACCGGTGCAGTTAAACAGCCTGCATACTCGCTAGCTATGCTACTATGTACATGGCGCATACGCACATGGAAACGTCGAGTGTAAGCCTGCCTGCCATGCAGGGAGCAAGCAGGGCATAGCACCTGGTGTCCACAAGGCGTGTGACGACGCATTGTTATTTCATGAATCACAATCGATGCACTACGCTCACGATACACACACGGATCGGGTAGTATGTGTATGCATCGATGTATTAACCTTTTTCAGTAAATTACGCACAAACGACGTGTAATGTTACAGTGAGGTGAAGAGAATGAACAAAACAGTTGAAAATAGACGGGAAAAAAACACGAGATGGTAGAATTCTGACACGCGAAAAGTCTCCGTTCCTGATAGCGCTATCAAGATCAATTACTGAAGAAGAAGCTCCCAACACGTGGTCCAAAACGTCGGACATCGTGTCAAACCAAAAACACATTAGATAGCTATATACAGGACAAATGTGAAAGCCTACGCAGTAGTATCGTTAAAAGCAGTCATTCTCAACCTGGTCCGCATGCCCTCAGCCCCCACACTTGTTTAATTTTGTGCATTTGCGTTTTGTTCCTCCTGCACACTATCCATGGCGGAGTCTGCACAGCCCCTGAAATGTTTTTTGCACCCCCCTCCCCCCCCCAAGTGCGATCAACATTGGCTGTGTCATGCTCCATCCTCTTGAGCATGCCTCTGCTTTAAACACGGTCAAGCTACGGAGCTGTGTTCAGTGGCCTGAGGACAGAAAATGTTCATAATATCCGGCAGGCAGTGATTGTAGTACGATCAGAAATTTCGTCAACGCATAAATAATTCAACACATAAATAATTACAATACAATGGTCCAAGCGAGATCGCAATGCTGTGGGTGTGGCAACGGTTGCTCGGAATGATTTCAACACGTCCGCTTCACCAGCCAATCAGCTATCAAGGAATACAATCCTGATAGCTGTCACGTAGCGGCCACAGCATCAGTGTTCTGTGCTTCAGCCTGTCTGTAGCTCTAATGAATGTTTTTCATTTAGTTTTAATGCTGATTTAATTAATCACTAATGTTGAAACGTACGTCATTAGTATTATCACTTTGATTTAAAGCTTTCGTGACTGCAGGGATTCATATTCTCGGTTCTTTCGGTAAAGTCACATAGAAGGGAAGCAATAAAATGATATTGTTTCCCTTCTACGTGACTTTACCGAAAGAACCAATAATATAGTATTATCGTTGTAAATGTTTTATACGTTACGAACTATCGGTGGACATTTTTTGACTTAAACCTTTCGTGACTGCAGGAATTCATAATCTTTGGTTCTTTCGGTAAAGTCACGTAGATCGAAAACAATTAAAGTAAAAAAATGAAATTAAAAACTACGATGTTTCGATCACAACACAAGCGATCGTCCTCCTGATGACGTCCTCCTGATGACGATCGCTTGTGTTGTGATCACAACGTCGTGTTTTTAAATTTAATTTACTTTATTTTTTTCCATCTACGTGACTTTACCGAAAGAACCAAAGAATATAACGGTTGACAATTTTCGTTACTTTGACAATTGACTTACGAGTGGCTCTTGACGACCTCTCAAGTTTTCTTCTGACTAACACGATGGTTTTCTGAACTCCCGTATGAAATCAGAGCGACGCAAATCTCCGCCTGGGTAATTTCTCGAATTGCGATAGTCGCTGTCGTCTGGGACCGCAGTTATCAGCTGCCAATTGAACAGGCGAAGGTGGACACCAGACAAATGACGACCGCTTGTGCTAAAGCACAGGTGAAAGGAGCCACCTGTTGAGCCAGCTCGGAAGCTGTACAAGAGTTGATGTATGTTTAATAACTTGAATGAAATTCAGTAGAAGCTGGATATAAAGCACACCCTTTGGAAGCAAGTACATTGACATTAAATTGATGTTTGCCTCATCGCTTGACTTAATTTTATTGTTTTCCTTTTAATCACTTTGGTGACCCCAGTGACTCTTGCAAATGAGACTCATCCTGGTTTCTTGAGTTCTCACCACCTGGTTAAACAAAATAAACTTGAACTTGCTTATATCCGAAGTTTGCTTATAACAGAAGTTGCCCTTAGCTTTCCCCCACCAGTGTAATATATGCACTTGTTGCTTATATCACGGCTGTGCTTATATGAGGTGTGCTATATCCAACTTCCACTGTAGTAAATAGTAATATTAAGTATATATTATATGCCGTATATATAAAAAAACCTTTATGTACAATTATATGGTTAAACAAATCCCATATGTTTAAATTACAGGGAGATCGTCCCATTTGGCCACGAAACTCCATGCCAGAACAGTAATTAATATATTGTGTTTATAATTGATACGTTGTGTTTATATAAGGTATACATATCATTGTGTTCACCTGTTACAAGGCAGATTCAGAGGTATCGATGTGTTGTCTGCATGCTCTATTTGTGATAACTCATTTCAGGTGTGCGAGAAAGCCCTGGGGAAGGACTCATTTGAAATGTGTTTTTGCTTGTTTATCCAAATAGTATTTTATACATTTGTGATATTGGCGTTAAGTCGTGTGATAAAAAAGTGCATTTTGAAATCTCGTGAAGCAGCGAACCACCTTGTGTCAGAGAAGGACCCTGAAATATTACATTACAAAGGCATACTCTTTGGTTCTTTCGGTAAAATTACAAAGCCACTTAAGCCCCATCGAGAGGGCCACCTAATCCATACCAACAGTGCACCTTGTATCGGTCCTGCAAGCAGTTATCATTGCATCGCGATAAAACCAAAGTATTTCATTCTGAGCTGGAACAAGCTTCATTAAGTGACACAAAATGTACTTCCGGATTTTGTTTCGTGCAGTCATGGACAGCTGTTCTGCGACCATCAACTCGCTACACTTAATTACTCCAGTTTAATCACGGATAGCTGACCATATATAACAACATCGAGGATCTTAGCCAGCCGTGCTGGCTCAGTGCTCTGACACAAGATTACCCCCCTGGGCAACCCAGCCGTGTCTGGCCTGACTCTCCCTATCCCTGGATTTTGGCAAACTCGCACACTCTGGGGAGGAAGAGTTTGATTAATAGACCTGGCCTTGGGTCATATCCATAATAATGGGGAACACTCTCCCAGTATTTATCCTACAGCAGGGGAGGAAAGCTATGTTTTATTTACTGAAGGCGAAATTATAATAATCATCATTAGTCACGTTCAATCCACTGTTGGATGAAGTCCTCCCCCAAGCTGCCACCATATCTCACCGTCCTGCGATGTAATAATCCACCTAGCAGCTGCACACGAGCTGATGTTATCGCTCGGTCTCCTCTGTGGCTATTCCGCTCGGACGCGTTCCTTTCCTTGCGTGAATAGACTGTCAAGTACCGTGTGCGGACCATACATTAACGTGTACTTTAGCGTTGCTCAATAGGGGCATAAACAAAACAAAAAAAACCGTGCGAGTCGACCAAGCATGAAGAGGCGCGTGGAGTCACACAATTGTCTTAGCCTGTCCACAAATTAAAAGGCGGTTTCTCCTGCTCGAAAATATTCCCCTCCAGTATCTGATTCAAAAATTCAAAAGGTCATCGTGGCTGGAAAAGCTATTGACGCTCTCACCACAGCTCGCCAATTATCTCTACCCTCTGCCAGATCCCCGCAAACTGCTGCACAGTAGACACAGCAGACACGCAGCAACAACCAAATTCTGCCGCAATGGTATCCCACCATCTGCTCTCCAAGTTCTTAACCTTTGCCGTCGGACCCATGGAGAACATTACAATGGCTGTGAAAATATGATTGGTGCGGCAAAGACTCCTGCAGTGATGGAGAGATATCGGTTTTTTTTGTTGTTGTTGTTGTTGCCGTTTTGATTTGGTACGGCTCATGTGGCCCGAGGTCGTATTCGAGGAAGTTGTGAGTTGAATCCCGGCCAATGGGGCTGTCCGTTCCCATTCCTGTCATACGGTCCAGTAAGTCGTGTAATGTTGCGGTTCCTGTCGTCTGCCTTCAGTCAAAACACCATGCAGTTGTGATGAATATGACCTTACGATAACGTTTATAAGTAAACTTCATTTTGAGCATTAATAACTCAAAACAGGCACCTACTGAATATATATTTGTTGTGTTCTAACATGCGTCTGTTCCCCATGTGTATCATGAGAAAAACAAGTTTTGCTAGCTGGCTGTCTTCCTGGTTGGCTGGCCAGGGTAAAGAGGGGAGGGGGGGCATGGGGAGGGGTCCGCGAGGAGGGGAGCGTGGGTTGGGGAGTGCCGGGGGCGACGTTGGGGGTGGCCATTTACCTGAACCGGTCATGGGCCTCCCCTAGGTCGACTCGGTCTCAAATGAGTACCTAGTGCGGTGTGTAGATTTTGCAACTAGGGAGACAAAGGCGGCCGGGCGTGTGCCGTGCCGGCCTTCATAGGTGCTCGCTAATAGCACTTGCCCCAACAGTTTGTTCAAGTTCTTTGTCTTTGGCACGCGTGAGAGGGGAGCGATCAAGGGTGGGAAGGAGGTGGTGACATTGGGGGGCGGAGGAGAAGCATCGTTCAACGATGGCCACTTTGTATGTACGGTATTAAAACAAAAAAAGTGTTGATGGAGGGACGGATGGACACATGGTCATGTCCAAAAGGACGTGCAGGCTACTCGTTTTTTTAATGGAATGTATTCCTGTGAAATTATACATTCATAGATAAAGTTTTGCAGCTTGCCCTGGTTAAAATTATTCGTGTGCTGTCAATATTCACAGCAGCTATAGCAACTTCCCAGTTCATAGTGAATAATGGTGGAGCGTAGCGGGTTGTGGGCCCTGCTGCAAGCAATTAAATGGGATCAACCGCCTGCCCAATTTAGCCCCCCCCCCCTCGCCTCATCACCCACTTCTTAACCCAGCGATGTTGCACTGTCTGCAACTTTTATAGCTACGCCCAGGGCTTCATTTCTCATGGACCCCTCTCTCCCCTCCCTCCCCTCCCTCCCCTCCCCAATCTCCAACAGCCAGCGTGAATATTTTCCGGAGCTCAGCCCTGAGCAGTGAGACCCTTGCCACACCACTGGGAGTGACAACGCTCGCACCATCGTGTACCAGGGTGGGACGTTTTTTTCGGTCATATCTACATTCCACTTTCCCGAGTGTTACAAATGTTTACTTGAGTATATGAATTTCCACAACAACAACAACAACAACACCACGATTTGTGTGTTGTGTCCAGCACTTTTTGTTTTGTGTTCTCCGAGGAGACCTGATTCTGTTGTACGAGTATCATTTCGATTGTTGCTGCATAAGTGATCGTATTAAATAAAATAACTATTTAATGAAAAACAAAAAC